GTACTGGTACCAGTATAGGCATGACAGGTGTGCTGGTACCAGTGCCGGTACTGGTACCAGTATAGGCATGACAGGGGTGCTGGTACCAGTGCCGATACTGGTACCAATATGGGTGTGACAGGGGCGCTGGTACTAGTGTCCATACTGGTACCAGTGCTGGTGCTGGTACCAGTATGGGTGTGAGGGGGTACTCGTACCAGTGTTGATGCTGGTGCCAGTATGGGTGTGACAGGGGCGCTGGTACCAGTGTCAGTGCTGGTACCAATATGGGTGTGAGGGGGAATTGGTACCAGTGTGGGCTTGACAAGGGTGATGGTACCAGTGCTGGTGCTGGTACCAGTATGGGTGTGACAGGGATGTATCTGGTACTGGCAGAGGCAGAATGGAGGGACCAGTACCAGTGCCATTGTGGGTATGACACGAGCACCAGTACCAGTACTCATACTGGGGCTGCTGTGGGTGCAATAACAGCATCAGTACCAGTACTCATACTGGTTCTGCTGGGGGCACAATAGGGGCACCAGTACCAGTACTCCTACTGGTTGCTGTTGGATGACAGGGGCACCAATATTGTTTCTCTTAGTGTTGCAGTCATGGGCACGTTAGGGACACCAGTACTCATACTGGTGGTCATGGTCATGATGAGATCACCAGTACCATTGCTCATACCCTCGTGTGAGTCTGGTAGGGGCACCAGTGTCCAGACTTGTGCTGGTACCATTGCAGGCACAGCAGGAGCACCAGTACTTGTACTGGTACCGTTGTGGGTGTGACAAAGAGCACCAGTGCTGGTGTTCATACTGATGTGATTCCTTGCACAACAAGGGCAGTAGTACTGGTATTGTACTGGTCCACTGTGGTCACCACATCGTGTGGACATGATGCAGAGGACACTGATACCAATAATGGCATGGGATCAGTGGAACACTGGTACCAGTACTAGTGCAGGGTTCGTAGCGGTACTGGTGCATGCGTGGGATCAGTAGGGTATGGTGCTGGAACTGGTACCAGCATGGATGTGAGCCTGGTGCTGCTACTCGTACTGGTGTGAGCACAAGGGGGCCATTGGTGCCGGTTCTGGTTACCTGGAGGAGGATTGCAGGCACAGCAGCGATACCAGTATGGACACGACCTACCCAGCACTGGTACCAGAACGGCACTGGTACTGGCAGCAGAGTGGGCAATGCCAGGGCACAGCTGCCAGTGCCGGTACCAACACAGAGGGGTGCGGGCATGGTGCCAAGGGGCATGGACATGTCAGCAGCACCGGTACCGGCACTGGTCCCGGCACAGCACCGGTGCCAGCAGGCATTCTCTCTCTTGCAGGGCTTTCTTCTGGCTGGTGTCGCTGCTGCTTTCCTCCCTCATCTGGTTTGTCGCGGTTAAAGCCAGCGACCCCCGGGATGAGAAGCTGCAGAAGGGGCTGTTGATATTTGGGGTGATGTTCTCTGTGCTGCTGCAGGAGGCCTTCCGCTTCCTCTACTACAAGCTCCTCAGGTAAGGGCATCCCCAACCCCGCTCCAGTGCTGCAGGATGGTCCTCCCATCCTCCTGACTGTGGGGGTGCCAGTTTTTGGCTGGGAGCTCCTGGGGTGTGGGGGATGCCAAGGGTGGCACCAAGCCAACTTGGACCTCGCTGGTAGTGTGCCAGTGGTACCTGTGTTGGTACGTTCATCGGGTCTCAGGTGACAGAGCAGAGCAGTCCTAAGATCTGGAGGACCCAGGGCTGAGGTGGCTGGTGGCATCTCCCTGAATTCGGGACAGGTAGGCTGTGGGTTTGGGCTGCTGCAGAACGTGTCACATCCTCTCTGCCCTGGTCAGTAGCACCAGCAGTGCTCCCGCAGCTTGGGGGGATGCCAGGGGGACATCAGGCACTGGGAAATGCCTGCTTTGCTGCGTAGGGGACAGAGGGTTAGGGTTCTGCCCTGGCCTCCTGGCAAGTCTTGTTCCTTTCTTAGGGATGGTTTTATCTGAGCAGGGACAGCCTGAAGGTGGTTTCGGGACTCTGTGGGGCAGCATGTTGCCACTGGCCCTGTGCTCGGTGCCTTGGCCAGCCCAGGGCAAAGTCTCGGCGCAGCCTCAGCAGCTCCTGGCCTCACTGCTGCCGCCGGCCCGGAGCGCAGGGGCTTGTGCCACCTGACGGGTGAGCATGCGCTGCACCCTGTACTGCGTTCGGACGGATGGATAGACGGACGGACGCTGCGCTGGGGCTGGGCAGGCAGACAAGGGAAGGCGATGCTGGGGTGGGCATCCCTCATACCCCGTAGCCTTCCCGGCTGGCTGGGCGCTGGCAAGGGGCTGGGGGAAGGCAGCGGGGTGGGGGGT